GTATATGGAGAGTCATTACAGCTTGAGGATCCTTAGGTGGAATTCCAAGGTCGTGGTGCACCATTGAACATTGACAAGAAACAGTTACACATCGGTAGCCACTCGTCTTTCGTAGAGAAAGAACATGTCTCTTGAGGTGACATTCCCTATCCGCCTTCTTCATTCGAAATGTTCCCATTGATTAGACGAAACCTGTTCGGCAACTATGGGGCACAGTACTCGTATATAGTTGTCTTAATTACAATGAATACAAAATTTTGTCTTCTCACGCAGTTCTATTCTATACAATACTGGGCACAGTTATGTGCCTTTGGACAGAGGATACAAAAAACGAGTCCACCCAAGTAAAATCATATAATTTCAAGTTACAGATTAAGGGTCTTGTATTTTGCACTCCGGGTATTTACATATGGAGCAAAGGACGTCGTTCAAAAGATGAAAGATCATTGTCTGACTCAAATGCAACAGGCAGGAATGCATTCTGAATGTCTTATTCAGCATGATTGGATCGGCCAAGAAACCTTAAGCGTATCTCTAGCGTATATGGCGTATATCTCTAGATATTGCGTACATACATATATCTCTACACACAAGCAGTCCACTCCGGTCGCCAACTATGCAGATCGCGTGCCGTATCGATTTCCACCAGTAAAACAGTTCTAAACTCACCAGCGCAACCTGGTCCCCGAACGTGTCGAAGTCTTTGGTGACGTGGTCTACAAGCGACACGTCCTCAGGAATGGCGACGTCGGGGTGGGGGCTCTTGATGATCGACATGGTCGCGACAGTGAGGAAGTCGTTCTTACTATAGCTAGGGACACACCGCTGGTAATACCTACCCGACACGCTGGCAGCTCTGGCCTGTTTGGGGTCACTGCACACGAGCTATTCTGCACCTGAATGGGGGTTGGGTCATCACGTGGGCATACCTGTGCATTCATGCAGGTAGTCCTTATCTATGACATTATCAGGAATATATAGTTCCGCAAAAGCCATTACACGTATATTGTGACATCTTTTTGTATGATATGTAATATTTGAACTGTCATTTGAACTCCGGATCTAAAACAGATCAAGGGCACTTTTAAGTTATATATTAATCCTTGAACAGATCAATAAAAGGGACATTAACATGTACATGTAAACACACACACAGGCTCGCTCATTTCTTTCAATTAGGCACACAATTCTCATGTGGACGGTGGCAGCTGCATATACAGAAAAGGAATGAACACTGGGGTGTATTTCAGACATGTCAGACAACGTTTCCATTCACAGGCATAAGATAAGATAAGAGGCGGGGTCCATCCGGGGTGTATGTGTGAATCAAAATCCTACAGTATCGAAATGGGGTAAGAGGGTATGAGTCTGTTCTCGAACAGCCTTCGTAACCCCTGCTTTTCTTTTTGCGTGATAGTTAGTTATCAGTCTCAGTGAACTTCTAATGAGGAAAAAGAAATGCTGTAACAGTCTTATTCATGTAACCATCGAGTGAGTGCCCTCGGGCCTAGTCGCAGCAACTGGTGACCTTTCATACATAAAAAAGAAAGCTAACAAGGTGCAATGCTGCTGTATGGCATCACATTACAATAGATCTAACTTATTTAAGCTGGAGATTTTGCCATTCTCTTATCGCGGCCATGCTGTCATAAATGTTTTGCAGTTCTAGAGTAAAATGTCCATCCTCTCACACAATGTTTACGTTAAGAACAAGCTGAACAGGCATAGCTGGGCGTAGGTTCAGCCTCCAACAACGTCACTTTTCCCTGTGCCTCGCAACCTCCTTCTCCTTCAGCACCTTACGGAGGATCTTCCCGCTGGCAGATTTGGGGATCTCATCCGTGAACTCAACAAAACGTATCTTCTTGTATGGAGCAACTTTTCCTGTGGGACAGAGAAGAATTCCTTTCTAATTCTCCAGTCATCATCTATTAAGTCTGTGTTTGCACTATGCAGTACAACAATAACAATCCAGTTATAAAAATAGTACCCAATCATTTTTAATCGTTAAGTCTACTGTCTCGTTTCTATTCCGGATATCAATAGAGCGTAAACGGTTCTAGTAAGCTATATGATTATGTACGAACGTCCAAGGTCGTTGAAAGGCCTTGAATGTTTCCTAGGAATTACAAAGTTTACCATTAGCATTACGATTCTTGATTATCGTCACCTGCGATGTAGTCCATGACCTGCTCCCCTGTGACGTTTGAGCCCGCCTTTTTCACGACGTAAGCCTTGGGCAGCTCGCCGGCCTCGGGATCGGGCACGCCGACCACCGCCGCGTCCTGCAGGTCCGGGTGGGTCAGCAGCAGCGCCTCCAGCTCGGCGGGGGGAACCTGCCACAGAAACGTCCAACTTTGAATTCAGGCTTTTGTGTAACATTTCCGATGACTGACGTCGCTTTTGCCAGTAACCGCGTAACCGGTATTTGTGTCTTCAACACAGCATAGGCAACATCTATCGACGCGCAAATTAGAAAGGAGCATATACACCAACCAAGACGGCTGTCTTCGTATTCGTACGACCCAAAGCGTAAAGTTTAACTTTAGAATAAGAAGAAAAAATTTAATAGGTGGCAAGACCCATGACAATATGGCGCCTACTCCCTCAGTTGAACGTGACGGTGCTAGAGATGCTCACCTGATACCCTTTGTACTTGATGAGTTCCTTAAGACGGTCTACTATATAGAAATTCCCGGTGCCGTCGTAATGCCCGATGTCACCTGGAAACAATAAGAGAGAATGAGAGAATGAATGAATGATAGTAACTTGTGAAGACGCTCAGAGATACAAGCCGGAACACTTGACAGTAAATTGATACTTTTACCCCTGAGGATCAGTCGCATAAAATATTAGGCAAAATTTCTTTGATCATGTGAGAACATCAAAGCTCCAATAATCACAATAATCAGTCCCATCACCACCCACCTGTGTGTAACCAGCCGTCCTTGATGGTGTTGGCCGTGGCCTCCGGGTTGTTCAGATAACCCTTCATCACCTGAGGACCCCTCACACACAGCTCACCGTCTTCACCCTCCCCCAGCAGCTTACCCGACTCGATGTCCACTATCTGAAACGCACGGGTACCGTCATGCAGTTCAACATTTTCACCTAATGATTAAGATACATCATCATCATCATCGACTGCAGATTTCACACGTAAAAGATAAAACGTCCGCTGAATTCTTCTGTATTCACAACCAAACCGCATACCTTGCATTCAGTGTTTGGCAGGGGCTGTCCGATCGAGCCTGGCAGGTCCTCTCCCTCCATGACAATGTGGGTGACGGGACTGGCCTCCGTCATCCCGAACCCTACGGAGGAAAAACAAGAGGCCTCAGAGGAGCCAACATGTCAACAGAAGTGCTCTACAAAGAGCATATGAAGAGCAAATGAAGCATATGTCAGCTGTTTGGACCCACGCTGCCGTGTGTTACCTTGCCGGATGGTGGGGTGCTTCAGCCTGGTGACGACCGCCTGTGCCAGCTCCCTGCCGAGCGGCGCGGCGCCGTTCACCAGCTCCTTCACGTGAGAGAAGTCGTACTTGTCCACCAGCGGGTGTTTGGCCAGGAACAGGACGACAGGAGGCACACAAGACACGCGAGTCACCTGGAAATACGGAGAATCGACTACAAAATGTGGCTTTAAGAAGACGCTAGATTAGTCTCACAAATGCGACTGCGGCCGCAAAATAAATTCTCTGTGCTTTGATATACAATATATAAACCCTGTGGACCTGATACAAGTTTGTTGAAGAAGGACAAGTTGGTTATTTTCATTATGTACCTTTATTCCCTAATCAGATGTTGTAAGCAATGTAGTAATTGTTATATCACCTTATGGTCCTGGATGCACTTCAGGAAGAGCTCTTGATCGAATTTAGGCAGACTCACAACCTTCGCCCCTTGGACCAGACCGACACCCAAGATGGCGACCATGCCATAGATGTGGAACAACGGCAGCAGTGCGATCAGGACGTCCGTGTTCGGGTCCAGACTCAGACTCTTCTGTCTTGTTGTTCAAAAAGGGGACATAAGAAAGTCTTCAATCATGTGTAAATCAGGTGTAACAAGTTATACTGCTTTTAAAAGAACTATAATAATTGGTTCTTCCGCTACCAGCAAGATGACGTCCTCGTAAAGACCGTGTTCTAATCACCTCATTTGCTCCAGGTTGGCGATGAGGTTGTAGTGTGTGAGCATGACGCCCTTGGGCAGCCCCGTGGTGCCGCTGGAGTACGGTAACACCGCCACGTCCTCCCGCGGGTTGACCTGCACGTCCGCCGGGAAGGCTGAGCCGTCGTCCCGCAGGAGGGAGGAGAACGGCGTGCAGCCCTCAGCCTCTCCGAACACGTACACGTCCTGGAAAGCAAGAGTCCATTCTGTATCTAGTGAAGAATTAAACCTCGCTCCAATGTAAAAGAGTGAATTTTCGTCCATCTGTCCGTACTACAGCATTCATCACGATTCAAATGACCAATCCCACATGACCTTAAATTGACTTAAGTTGAAGGAAGTTTTAGTAGTCATAAATTCAATGGGTCTTAAAGTGCACCTCAATGTTAATCTCATTGGTGACATGAGAACATGATGCCCTACCTTGATCTTCTCACACTTGTCCATGGCCTGTTTTGCCTTGTCAGCAAACATGGGGACAGTGATGACATAGGAGGCTCCGGACTGCTGCAGCTGGTGGGCCAGCTCATCTGGAGGACAGGAGGGTGGTCTATTAGGTTTCGCCTTTTTCACCAAGTCGTCGTTTACATTTCATACGTCCCATCAAGACTTCAGACTTACCTTCTTTCATTTCTTCAACTGATAAATTGCCAGTTAACGAAACAATGAAAAGCACATTATCAGCGTATGTTCTTACTTTGTACCTCTGTATATTTATATGTTGCCCTGCCCATCTCCTTTTATTTGTGGCATTGAACAAAATCAACTTCAGTGCTTGTGTAGCAGTAACAAGTCGATTTTCTTCCATTTAAAAAGGAAATGTGTCCGCTATGACCGGTTCCTACCGACACACCTGCCGTGTACAGAGGGTTGACCGTCGTCACGGTGCCTCCAATCCCGATGACACCGAAGAAAATGATGGCAAACTCCGGCAGGTTGGGGCTGTAGATGGCGAACACGTCATGCTGTTTGAACCCCAAACGTGTGAGGGCGCTACCGCACACACGGAACAGAACTTTCAGCTGAGAGAAAGTATAGGATCTGCCCGTGGGGCCGTCGACCTGGAGAAATTGAACAATGCAATCCAGACAATGGGTCTTTTGTAAGGTGAGTAGCTGCCAGGAGCTCTGAAACGTTCAAAATGTACACATTCAAGCATGCAACACGACGTATGCACCTGTCACACTTTTCAGTGTCTTGAAAAAAGACCACACGTTCCGCCTACACTAACTTCTGTACGTGCTACTATTCATGAAGAGGTAGGTCTTTGTCCACCTGTTAGTACAGGAAAGTGCCTGTGTCTGGCGAGGTGTATTGGGTTTCACAAAATAGGCCTTGTGTCTTGGCCCTAATCTCGTAGATTACAGGTATGAAGACGATCCGAGACATTTTGCCTCCGTTCGATCGTCGATGATCTAGAACACGAGTTGAACCTCCCACCCCAGCAGCGATAGCACTGTATCTATATGGTGGACTGTTACCAAGTCTGTCGGGACGAGGTCGGCAGTTGTTGTAACATGAACCACTTGGCATTGTCCGCACTGAGGTCAACAACCACTTATATCTATTAACAACATACACTGTTGTGCCTTCATTTTCCTGCATTATTTATCCAGATGATACAACAAATTTGTCATCTGTCAATTCAAGATCATGATAGTTTGCTTGTTGGAAAATTCTGTTCTGATTCTAGTCCAACAAACTGCGTTTTAAGCTGACTGATGGAATTGGCGAGCCAGTCACGGTCAATTCTGCAAGGAGTTCCATAAGTCATAACTTTGGGCATGGGCCCCCTGCCCCCTGAACAGGGCTTTGGATAGCACAAAAGTGGGTGCACAATAACCATTACACTACACATTCCGGCACTAATATGGCACTAATAACTTGTCTCAGTTTCCGATCGTTCCCCCAGTCGTATTTTACCTGCAGAATTTTATTACCTACTCACCAACGCGACCTTGTCTCCATAGGCGTCGAAACCTGCCGTTAAGTAATCCACCAAGGCCAAGTCGTCAGGAATGGTGACGTCGGGGAGCGGTGACTTAATGATAGACATCTCGCCGAAGCTGTGACTGTGTCTGGGGAGGGAAAGTTGGGAAACTGTCGTGGAAAGTCCAGTGAAGTACACCGACTGTAGGGTAGCGATATAGCGTCATGTTCGTCACGGGTCACTCGATATGCGTCATTCTTCTCGAATAATGGGCTGTACGCAGCAGAGTCATATTTCTTCCATGATTGGAATACTTTCTAGCGTGTTATACATGTATGTGAAAGGACATTCACCATGACGCAGTACACGTTTTGTAATCTCATTTGGTCAACTTATTATAAGTGTTCATATAGTTTCTGGCAACAACGGGAGCGATTACATGTACGTCTGCTGCTGAGTTCATAGCCGGATTCTATTTTGGGCTTCCGTGCTTATCGTTGTTAAAACGGACAGTGTAAACACAAGAGGAACCTGACACTTCAGCATGCACTTCAAGATTGGTCATCATGAGAACCTGATGTTCAACGTAACAACGATCCAAGTGACGAAAACCACCCCTTTAACAAACCACGTATGCCAACCCAGGCCCAGGCAAGACTGTATTGTCAGAGATTTTCTTTAATATAGACTATACCCCTTCTATAAACACAACTTTTGTTTAAAACTAAATCAATGACTACTAGTTATCTAGAATATTCATCTATTCACCGCATACAAATGTGAAGATCATGATATTGAAAACTTGTATATCAACTCCAAGATGATATCATTGATACAACATAACTCAATTGTTGCCACCAACATGTGATACTTAAGAAGCGTACATGTATATAGTTAGCATGTATGCTAGCGTACATGTATATAGTGAGTTATTCAGGACATAATAGCATGGCATTGGAACATAACTTGAAAAGCGTATAAGGTCATGTTCGCGTATATAAGGATGATATCCCGTATATAGTTTCCGTATAAGTGTGTTCAAGTAGAAACCACCTGCTACACCTGTTCTTCCTATGCAATATTGACCAAACATCCATCAGATAGGGTATCCGCATCTCGTTCTAGATGAATGCTAAATTCGTCTTATATGAGACCATCAAAGCTTGCTGTTTGTTTTAAAAAAGTGAAACAAAACAATTTCATGTTCGTTGTCAGATTATCCATGTTGGAAAAGATATGTACATACCTGTAAAAGCAAGGGCTTATTCACTTTATTGTATTATCATTCTTTGTATCTATGAGAGATACATGTAATAATTAGTACAGTATTCGGAGAACTTCTTGTCACAAAATAACTCAATTCAAAGAGTGAGTCGTCGCCGCATTGGACTCCAGATTCGAGACACGACATCCGACTGCCAAGGTGGGCTAAATTACCGGTGACGTCATGTCATAATTGCCAGACCGCTTCCATGGCAGGGTTGCCGGTCTGCCCTCCCGGGAGTTCAGCCGCAGCCGCAGGACGGTGAGCCCCGTGAGGACCAGCCACACCCCGAACAGCGCCCACAGCGAGATCTGGGCCACTGTCATGAAGGTGTGGAACGGCATGCCATCGTTATTACCCTTCGGGTACCCGGGAGAGCTCTGGTAGTAGCTGCAGGTGCCATAATCATATCCGTAACTAGGAAAAAAAAAAGAAATTCATCAGGATGTAAGTTACACAAGAAAACAGTTACTCGAGCAACTAGATACATTTTGGAAACTGTCAGACGTTTCAAGTAGTCACTACGTTTCGTCAGTTATCGTGCGTTACCTGGATGTACAACCTTCATTGACTTTTGACGACTTATGTTGTTCCATGTAAGGCAACGCAGGTTAAGTAAGTGTGAGTGAGTGAGTGAGTGAGTGAGTGAGTGAGTGAGTGAGTGAGTGAGTGAGTGAGTGAGTGAGTGAGTGAGTGAGTGAGTGAGTGAGTGAGTGAGTGAGTGAGTGAGTGAGTGAGTGAGTGAGTGAGTGGTAAAAGCTTGATTCAGTTCGTTTATTCTCGGGTTTAGTATTTTTACTCACTAGATGACTTTCTTGACTTGTGCGCAGAAGTTGTTGTAGCCCACCGACACCATGGCACCGCACACGAGCGTCAGGAAGCTGAGGCCGCCATTCAACACCAGCGAGGGCAGGAGCACCATGTCCTTCCTGTCAGATCGTCAAAACTGAACTAATATGTCTTAAAGCACCTTTCGTGTAACCATTTACATGTACTTATATACATGTATTAAATCAATTTGCGTTACGCAGCAATTATTTTGTGTCATTTTGAAGTTCCCCGATCTAGATCTATTAAGGGCAAGACGGACTTTCTGGCCCCTTTCTGAGACTAGTGGGACATCATCATAAACATCACTCAGGTTCAGTACGATAATTCCTTTGCACTTTTCAGATGTCTATATGCCAAACATACATTGAAAAGTAAACATATCATTCTGGGCATGTCACGACTGTAATAAACGTGTTATCATGATCCCGTGTGATTGACTTGACCTTGCCTTCCCTGCTTACCCATTCCGCTCCCGGCTGATGAGCGTGTATGTGCAGTAACCTCCATAGATCACTCCGTACACGACGGCAGCTACGCCCACCCCGATCGGGAAGTGGCAGTTGGAGTTTGAGCTGCATTTGATCAGCCACTGGTAGTCCGGGGCCGTGTCCTCGACGATGGGCGCGTACAGGATACAGCATCCCTTAAAGTTGGCGGCTGTGAGACCTACAGTCACTGCTACAGCAAGGCCGCCCACCACGGCAGCAGCGTACAGCAGGACCTTAGTCAGGAGAAGGAAGTCCGCCATCATGTGTAGTTATGTAACTACGGCTGCGCAGGTGTGGAACTTTAGACGCTGTTCTCACATGTCAGTGTGCTCGTGACACCCCCGCGGAGTTTCCTAAAGTCCATTTCCGTGTAAACATTCCCGAATACATACAAATTTGTATCGCCAAATCATGTTAATTTGACATAAATAAACGAATAAAGATTCCGATTGATAGCGTCTAGACTAGAATTCTTGTTCTTGTTCTCTTTCTTGTACGGGTTCTGCACAACACCCCTAGATTGGGTAAAGCGTGCAGGGAATTCAGTCTGTCTTCTGCAGTTCATTGACTTGTACTAACGTTACTAGTTAATGTTTACAGAATCACATGTTTGTTGGGGCGTGTTCCAAGGTTTAAGTAGGCAATTATGAAAATCGTTTCATTTGTATTTCACAATAGGCATATCCACATAAATCAACAATATCATATTTGTCACAATTAAGAAGGACACATGTATAACGTTCTGTTGTGGCTACTGTGTCAGAACTTACTTAAACTTAAAAGTCGTTTATGACTATCATCGGACTATGAAGAAGCGCGATATTATAAACTTATTTGAAAGCTGAAGTTTAGCAAATTGGGACAATGGTAATCTAGAAGAGTTGGTGCGCCAGGTTAGACTACTGTTGTAGTCCGTCTCTGCTACTAGTATTTTCTTTTGGTTTGCAAGATCACGCCTATTAATAAAGTACTAGTATTATGCTTTACATCAGATTCTACTCGGTCACTCGTGAACCCCCTATTCATGAATGGTTTAGTCCATTGACCTTGCACCCTTGCTTTCAGTGACGTAATTCAACATGGCTGTCGAGTGATAATTTTGTCATCTTCAGGTGTTTACTTTTCCTTCTGACCATCATTTTCGCCACCCTCTCCATCAAGATGGCATCAGAAACCACAACAGGTACAGTAGCTCTTTTACGTGTTGCAGTAGGTAGGTCCTTTTTGTGGAATTCTAATCAGCTAGTCCTGAAACATCCCGAATGTCGCCGCTCGGTCGGAATGACGATGTTAGCAGTCGACACACAGCACAGTGGGCCGTATCACCGCTGTATGACTGGTCACATTGACATGCATGTTATTAACAAGAATAGGGTATTCTTCTTCTCTAGCACTATGAAAACAGTTCCGTGAATTCTATGAAAACAGTTGTAGTTGGTAGGAATGCAAGATTTCCATGTAACGTTACCCAAAAACAAATTGTTGTTTCAAGATTGTTTGTTTTGTAATTTGGCTCATTCAAATTATCTCACGGCCAAACATAATGATTTTGTAGGATAGGAACCTGTACATTTACTAGATCATACTTCTGTCACAAATAATGATTTATGGGGAGTAATCAGGGAAATCAATTATATCACATGTCAGACTCGAACTCTCCTCTTCCTGCCTTTCTTTCACTCCTCTGTCTCACGTCCTCTCTTTTCTTGCCCTCCCCTTTTCTCCTGTTCCCTGTCATTTTCTCCCATGTGTGTGTTGTGAATGTGTGTGTGGTGTATGTATGTGATTTGTGTGTGTGTGTGCGCGCGTGCGTGCATGGATGTGTGTGTGTGTGTGTGTGTGTGTGACAGTATATGAGATGCTGTGTTAAACCATCTTTTGTTTACCAAATCAAGAAGTGCACCGACAATGAAAGTCCCCCTCCCCCCAATCATTTCACTGAAGTTAGAAAATGCTATTGAAAGTGCTATTGAAGAGGATATACATAGTTCAATGGTAGTTGGCTTCACGAAGAATGATGCTACTGTAGGTCAGATTTTATTATTATTTAGCACTGGAAACTAGACCAGTGTCATACAGTCCCGGCGTTCCAGGAATGGTTTTATTTGATTGAAGTCTGGGACTGTGCCCAGGCCTCCCATTGTAATCTGTATTTTACTTTTATCATGGTCCCAGTAAAACAATGTGATGAAAGTCTCATGCAGAAGAAATCAGAGCAGGCTCTTAAAATCATTGTCTGTTTCTGTGATTACAACCTCAGAGGTTCATCTTGAAGATCAGCCACTAATTACCCATCAGAATAATGAGGCTGTAGAGCAGGACAGTACAGTAGATTGTTGTTGTTTTTTCTTTTTTTTTTTGCATAACATACTAGTTTTGTACAATGAGTACAACCTGCGTAGCACAGGACTGTAAGGTTTGAACCACTCACTGGGAAGGACCCCTCGACTCTTTAGTTGTCCACAGAAAGGGTGGTATACAGTTGAGCTCTGTTATTGAAAATAATTTTTAAGACAATTTAAGATAATTCAGTGCAACATAGACACCACTCTAGAGCAGGGATTGCATTTGTTACCTCCCAAATGGCAGTTTATCAGGTTTGCCACTCATAATTGATCAGAACCCTCTGGGTGGAGACATCTTAATTAGATCTTAACCCAATCAAGGGGAAGTGCATGGAGCAACTTGGTGTAATATCAGTACTATTTGTTGTCCAAATGTAGTCTCACACATTACTGCTATGTGATGGTGCTAAGTGCTCTGTGATAGAGGTACTGATATGTACAAATTATACTGTCCGTGTCTATCTCTTGCATCTAAAGATATACATTGTACCTTATAATATGGCACTGATGTCACTACATGACTGAAGAGGCTGTTATTTCCTCATGTTGCAATCACCAACATCATGCAAGAGTAGCTTGGGCTATGCATTTTGTTGGCAGTTTAAGGCATAAGCCATATCACTTTGACTTATATGCATGAATGTGATTTTCATCACATTAGAGATTGATGATATGTATCTTGGATCAGAAAGGGGTGTTATGTCTACTTCAATGTACATCTCATAAATATGTTTATGATATGATTACGCTTAAGTATCGGATTTTATGCATTAATTGTGTTAATGTTTAGCACAAGTTGTAACAACATTATGCAAAGAGAATGCAGCCAGAACCACACCATCAAAAAGAAATTTATTCTCACAAGAATCAGCACCACCTTGGTTTAAGCACATGTAGATATATAGAGTATCAGGTTTGTTTTTGTATACAATCACTGATTGAAAAACAGAGTGTGCATTCTAGTGCCTGTGCCTATTAAATCAAATACAGTACACCTACTAGTAAATGAGCATCATTTGCAGCTCATCTCATTCTGCACAAGAAAAATTCTAATGAAGAACCTGTCATGCTGTTGTCTTCCATCAGTAGAAGCCAAGCCTCCAGTGCTTGGCCGTGACCCTGTCCTGAGGGAGTTTGCCCCACTGACCAGTATAATGGACCTGATACCACACAAGGCACAGAAGGGTCTGAAGACAGAGGCCATCCAGCTGACGTGTTTTGATGCCACCAGAGAACTGCTTGGTTTTGGGTCCAACATCGGCCTTGTGTTCCTGTACGAGAGGAAACAGAAACAGATGCAGAGGCTGAACTGTGAGGTCAGTGCTGTCATGAGTTTGATGTTTCACTTTTTACTGTCTAATAATATGTGTTGTCAATGTCAATGATAATTGACTTTCAAAATGCCATTACAAAAATACATGGTGAATGATAGATCAGAGCACTGAGTATATACAACTATTATACATGAATAGCTTCAATTTTCAAGTCATGTAAGAGAGACCGTAACAGGCCTTCAAAAACATTCCAGAACAGCTCTTGTTTGAACAGATCACTTACTCAGCTATCAAACTGTAATACAATGTATCAGTTCTTCTCTTTATCTAACTTTATTACAGCATGAAAGTGCAATGTATGTGTATTAAATTATACTATTATGAATAAAGGATGAACATTAACATAGCCATAGTAGTTTCTAGATTGCCATAAATTAAGTGATCCCAATGATTGTAGCTGCCAGCCTTACCTTTATTTGTAGATGCTTCTCCTCTTATATCATAATAGGAATGTGCTCTTGCTGTACCCCTGCCCTACCCTCCTCCTGTGAAAACATGTCTGTGACATCAGTGTTTCCCTTGTATCCTGCCCCCCTCCCACCCGTGCTGTGGGTGCCCATCTTGGTGGTGTAGCAGCTGTGAGATGTGAGACACATTTGCTACGGCCACCAAGATCTGTGCCAGCAGTATTCCTCTTCTTTCTACCTTCACATATCTCTTCCCTCTTGTGTTTATTGTAATGTCTTCATGGAAATAATGTCACATTTATGACACATAGATGATAAAGGAAACAACAGTATTGGTAATCTTGGAATAACTTGCAATTGCTAAAATCTACCTACAACAGTTAACATGTGTTATGTGATCCTCTCTTCATAAAACTGTTGCCAAAGTTAACTGAGGGAAATAATTAGATTGTCTAGAAATATATCCCCAATAGAATATAGAAGCTACTGTATTGATTCATTGGCAACTTAAGAACAGGACAGGATTGGTCTGCATGCCAATGCTAGAGGGTAAGAAATGGGTCCATTTCAATAGAATCTGACATATACGATTATAGCAAGCTTGGGACATCATGCTTTGCATTCTCAATCAATGTACCTGTATTGAAATGTGTGATGAATATTTCATAGTGCTTTGATCTTTGGTTGTGTCATGTAGTGAAATTCAGCACATATGTCCAGAATGATCCATATCATCATCATCTTTTGTTTAACTGGACTTTTCACAGTTCTGCCCAATTTATCAGTTCACGACATTCCATTTTGTTTTGGCATGTAAATCAGGATGCTTATTTTTGGTGAACTTTCATATTGACAACAATAATGCTTGCTTTTCTGACCTCTTGTGTTTCAACTGCTTCCTTGCTGTAGAGGAAAGGAAAGGTAAATTTTCCTGTCAAAATTTTTCCACGTTTTTCATTTTATATTTTAATATTCTGTTATATATAATTGCAAAAAAAGTAAGAGATTGCCTCTATCCTATGTGATAGCTCTCCTTGTCATCTGCACAGCTAATATATCACTAGTGTCATTCCTTTTTGGACAAATATTTATTTTACTCAAACAACGTTTTTTCTTTTTTTTTCTTTCATGTATGTAGTATGTACATCTTCTCCCTGGCACTCTTGGCTACTTAACAGGTAAGGCAGTTAATGTATGAGTGACTTCATCCTGTTTCTGTCCCCCCAGTTGAAGAACGACCCCATCAGCTCGGTGAGATTGCTGTCTTGCCTGGATGACATGGTGGCAGTAGGAACAGAGTCAGGACTGGTGGTGGTGTTCCAGCTCGGGTCAAATGTTCCTGGTCACAGCAAAAAGGTTGGATGAATTTTAGATAAAATGCTACACCATGTTTGGGAAGTACAAGAAAAATTATACAGTCCAGTATTTTACATGTATTTGTATTTTCTCCAATGTATCCCATGGTACTCAGAAAAGACTTTCTATTGTCTCTAATTCTTGAAAGATGTTCTAAACCAGTTTTGAGTTTTGAATTAAAATCAGAAATGTTTCAAGCATTTCAATGTAATAATAACCCTGGTATTTTGTCCCCAGCACCAGAAGTTTACCATTGAGGACCAGCATGAGGCAGCTGTGGTGTGTACGGAGTGGAGCACCAACGGGATGAAACTATTCAGTGGGGACAGGGCTGGCAAGGTCATCTTCACTGCTGTGGACTTTTATGAGGTCAGCAGAGTACTATTCCCAAAAAAGAGTCATTGTATATATCAGCCCTGGAGTGCTGGAAAATGCTTTTTTCCCTTTTTTTTTACCATTTTCTATATTACATTAGTTACATATGTAGGTATTGAACAAACAGGATTGACCTTTGCTGCTTATTGATCACTGACTAGTTTGAATGTGATCTGCATATTAACAAATGTACTGCAAAACTCCCTACAACAGCTAGATGGCACTGCAGGATGGTGCCTTTTTGGGATTGGAGTAAAAATGTATGTGATGACTTTCTGAAGACTTTTGTTCTACATGATTCTACTCAACCTATTCTTCTTTCCCTGTCCACCAGGGGGTGTGCAGACCCACAGTGTTAATTACTGAACCTTCCCCTGTAGTACAGCTGCACTACCTACACAAAACCCTCCTAGTGTCCACCCACCAGAGAACACTACTGTGCTACACCGATCAGGACTGTAAAATCCAGCAAGTCGGACAAAAGCCCAGGAAAAGGTAAAATGTTCCACACATATGTAATGATAGTAGTAGAACCTGAATTTTGTTACTTGCCACATATAGTATGTCATAATAATTGTGATCTGCATTAATGTTGTAGCCTATTGAAATCTCTTTTCGAATTTATAAGTGCAAGCTTCATGTGCAATGCCAGTTCTGCACTGTTGGTTTCTTCAGTGAAGTTTTCTATCAGTCCTGTATACTTCCAAGCCAGCCAGAGAAGTGCTTCTATCCCACTCCTCTCATGTGACCTTGTATGTTGTTCTACAGTG